TAATCTCCTAAATTAGGAGATGAGAAAAGATTCCTAATTAGTGTAACTAACTAAGGAAAGAACTAAATACGGTACTAATAATCAAATCAGCCCAATCAATATCACACTCGAATACCTACACATAGCAATTAAAATTCATAATACAGACAATTCCAATAAGCATGCATAGGCAATTAAGAGACAATAGTCCAGTGTCAAGTGATTCAAAGAAGATATCGGAAGTATTTCGAGAATTAAACACATCAGAAAACATAAAGAAGTTGGAACAATCACGACATCCAAATTAAGCAAATTTGTGTCCCATGGACATACTAAATTTAAAAAATAAATGTGTCCCCATTTAACATCTTGAGTTTTTAGACGAGATGATTCAAAATGTATTAGAGCGTACAAAAGGTCATATGTTCAAGTCTCGCTACCACCCATTTAGAAAACTTGTATACGTGTTAGGCATTTGACAAAAGATATTTGCACGCGATGGGAGCAAGTTCAATACTAAATGTAAATAAATTAATATGTCCCTTCCGTAACAACTTAGACTTCTAGATGAGGTTGTTGAAGATGTTCAATATACTCATTATCATATCACCCATATACAAGGAAAGAATATAAATTATATAAAAAGAATTTTATCATATATGCCATAATCATACCATGTCAACAAGCACATGGTTGCCTCTCCTAACAATATTTCATGCTCATAAAGCTCCCACAACTAGCAATGAGCTATATCGGAAAAAAAGTGAACCTAGTGCATTCTGAATGGAATTTAGAATGTCTGTTAATGTGAAGAACACACAAGCATGCAAAAGGAAGGTGCATGGAGAACCACCAAACCGGACGTCCATCTTTGATTATTCCTGATTTTGCCACTGCAATACTTTCCAAAGAGCCCCCGAGTGCAGCTAGATGCTCCTCACCAATAGTTGTAATAATTGATACAGCAAGTTCAGAACTAGAAATTACATTGGTTGCATCTCGTGCTCCACCCAATCCGGCCTGTACATTTGCAGAAGAAAAGAGTATGTTAGTTTGAGCATGGTAATTTCTAAAAGTCTTTTCTTATTTTCTTTTTGAAATTTGAGAAAAGAAGACAGGAACCACTATACTACAAAATTCACGCTCTCCAAGGGCCCTAAAATAGCATAATGTCAATTAAAGCACAAGCCAATTTACCCACCTTTTTATCAAAATGAGCAAAAACTGGACATGACTTTTAATTCGAAAGGATAAAGAGAAGGACAACTGAATTTATTTAGATACATTGATGTAAAAAGAAAACTAAATAATGGCATCAAAATAGGTAATCAGAAGATGAGATTTAGTGAACGTGAGTTGATGTGGGAAAATTGCCCACACCTCGACCACTGCAACATCAACTTTCTCTTGAGCAAACACACTGAAGGCTAGAGCAGTGAAAACCTGAAAGTTCAACACATATCAAAAGGTCGAAAGATATTGAAATAATAATTACAGCAAGAATCCATTACTTAATTCAAAAAAATGAGTGACCATGCTTATATATGCTTTCTTCTTGACTAGAATATAATCAGTAATTAGTAATCAAAAAATAATGAATCTATCACAAACCGTACCTCGAAATGACTAAGACGGCACTTTTCAAGTTTTACTGCTCTTTCAAGATCAGCCCTTACCATTTGAAAATGACAATTCAATGCCTTTGCTGACACTGGCTCACCTGATCTTCCCAATGTTATGCGCTCCCTGATAGTTTGCATATGTGGACTGCTCAAAGAAATCAAGCTTTTGGTCATAAATATACATATATATAAAATGTTTAAATTATGACAGTTCCACAATGCTGATTCTAATGTGATGCATCATCATTCGACAGAACACCCCATACCTAGTATAGCAACCAACAGAATATCCTTCTGCTCGTAAAATGCTGGACAGAAATGCAGCAGTTGATCCTTTTCCTTTTGTCCCAGCAATGTGAATAGCCTATGATCAAATTTGAATCCTATTAAAATCTCTGCCAATTCCATAATTCCCCTTAAAAAGAAAGACAAAATGTGAACTACTAAAAAAAAAAAAAAACTTTACCAATTTTAGTAGGTGTTGAGAGGTTTAAAATTACTAATACAAGATTATGTCGACGTCTACTCTTTTAGAATTTACAAACCCGCTTCCCACAAAAAACAGTCCACTTTTTGGACCAACTACTACCCACTTTGTGCCCATTATCAATCCACTAATCAATATGACAAAGTGGTATAAATCGATTACTTAACTATTAACACTTTGCCTATACATGGCGGACAATATATGAAGAGGTAAGCAAAATTCATTATACCAACTCTTGTTATGGGTTTATTTTATACAATATCCCCTACTCTAATGCTTGTCTATTTCGCAGGCGCATATGGGAGGAGCAGATTGGTCAGAAAAAATTATCACAATAATATAAGAAAAAGTTGAAGACGTTTTCAGGTCATAACAGTAGGCAAATAAAGTCGAGAGACTAAATGTACTCTTACTAATCAGCAACCACCATCCCTCTGGGAAAATAAAAACAAAAGACAGAAATTGGAAAATAAATAATCAGTCTAGTGCTGCCTATAATTTTCAAGAAACAATTTTGGCAGTTCAAGTTTTAAATTCCAACGCTGAAAACATATACAAATAACCCTTGAGCAACAAAGTAATTATGAAAATTAATAGATAAACAAGGTAAAAAGTAGATCAAATTAGCTTTACTTTGAACAGGCACACCCAACTGGGAGAATTAAAATAAGGAGTCATTTTTCAATTACTTTCATTTAATGTTTCCTATATTTCCAGATAAAAACAAACAATGCCCTACGCCTACTGCATTTTTCTTTTCAAAGACAAAAAAGTAACAAACTACATTTTGAACAATTAAATGATTGAATTTAAAAAAAAAAAACTGACCTTGTACTGGGATTGGGGATTACCCAACAATTGCAAGAGGCGTTTCATCCTACCAAGATCAAACCCATCATCGGAATCAGTGCCGGCACCTTTGGGCACGCCGGATTTCTCGTAGTTCTTCAGTCCATCCATGTATTCCATAAACTCTTTCAGTTCTGGGTCCTCTGAGAAATCAGTAGAAAAGGCTCGACTTGGAAGGTTGATAAACATTGGAATGTGCTGAAAATATGCTGGGATTTGTTTGTAAAATGGTCGGATGGTGAATGAACGGAAAATGTTGGGGATTTTCATTCTCTCTCACTGTGGAGAGGAATTGGCAAGGTTAAAATTCACGTTAATTTATTATACAGTAGAAATCCCACATATTTCAAAAATAGGCCTTCAGATTCCAAACCTTCATAAATGGTTACTAAGGTTCATGTAAATTTCAAATTACTTGTCAAAATAATTTTGAGACCTATTTATTCAATAAACATAAATAGTATTGCATAATTTGTCACTTGTTTAATGGCATCCGACTTTGGCTTGTTAAACCTTGATCGAATAATATTTGATGTATCCTTCTAATGAGATTATATGTCCTCAAAATATAACACGATTTTTAGTAGAAATGAATCATGTTCAATAAGGAAATTACAAATCGCTCCGTTTAATCCCAACTCTATTTCTATCACTAATAAATAATAAAATAATTTGATGCAACATAAAAGATGATGCATGCCGAAAGGAATCGATTGCTTTGACGATTGTTGGTGAACATGAAAGATACAACGTTAATCATACAAATAAGTGATTACTTAAACATAGTCACATAATTGATCACCCTACTGGTTGTATCAACACCTGATTCTACATGACCCCATTAACCTTGATATGGACTAGCAATAATTATGTCCATGTTATGAAGTTATATGTCCTTAAAATTAGGTGTAGTTCCTAAATTTTACTCGTTAACCTTAACCCGTTTTTCATCATTGATAAACTGTAGAAATATTATGATAAAAGTGATACGGGAGGTCAGTTGGAAGGAATGTCGCTTGAATGACTGTTAGTACAAGTCTAAGTTTAATGGTTTATACGCCATATATTACGTTAATGAAACTAATAATATGTAACTTTATTAAACTTTAGTTAACAAAATAAGTCAAAGTACTACTTCAAGTGTCAAAATGAATTTTCACTTAAAACTTCAGTGACCATTAGTGAAATTAATGGAATTTTTCCCTCCTAAAACGGTCCGAACTTACTGTTATACATACAGGTATCTAATTAAGCAATATTTAGTTCATAATGAATAGAGATAAATATTCTTGCAAACTGTCCTACACATTTATAAATTAGCTAAGGAAACCATAAAATCTTAAAAAGGACCAAAGCGAAAACATTTCTTGTTTCGAATTTTTATTTTTATTTTTATTTTTTTAAATAATCTTAGACAGATTTGTTTTTATCCCGTATTCAAAAAAACTAAAATCAAAATCAAGTATCGATTGAAACAGTTCAGTCCAGTAAAAAATTCAAAATCATATATAGTTCAATGAAAATACCGATTTGATTTGTCAATTTGACAATTTTTACTTGTACCTCTATGCCAAAGTGTACAGTGTGAATTCAATAGTCAAATGAACAAAACTGCACTTAAACCACATAAAAACAATAATTTCGACCGTTCTTGCATATGAATTCAGTTGTGCTATACGTACATCAAAATTTACAAATTTATTTACCAACCGATGATTTGGCAAAATTTGGTTCAAAACCTCAACAACCAAATAAAAATAAATAAAAAATCTCATTTTCTTTTTGACACCTCGTCAATTTTACATCGTGTAAATGGTGATGTACATTTTTCATATGGATGTAGGAGTAAGAGTGCCCTCTGTGTACACCTTATCAAAACCGAAAGCTTGAATATATACAATATACAATCAATTTTATACATAATATATCAAAAGTTAAGTTTCGGTTCGCTCAAATAAATATCACACAAATGAAAATCGATAAAATTTTGGTGCTATATTTGCAAATCTATTGCTCTTTCATCATTTAACAAAATTGTAAGTTGCTTCAGCAAATGAACCAAATTAACCGCGAGCGGACATTACATCCAACTGTTCAGAATTACCACAGGAGGACGAGCCCACCTTCCGATAAACTTTGCTCCTGTCTCTGGTGTAGTTGAGATCTTGATTTGGGGGAAGGTTGAGGTTCAACGCATATTTTTCTTTACCACTTACTTGATTAAGATGCAAGAATGCAAGCATGCTTATAGTAAACAAAGCAGCATTTCCCAGAGTCCCACTCGTGCGATCCAATTTGAGGGTACTAGAAACAAATTTAAAAGTGGAAATAAGGAAATTGACAAGAATATTCGACCTCTTATGTTCAGGTGATGCTAAGTTTCGATTGTGGGGATAGGTTGATGGACCATAGGGATTTTCCTGTGAAACAAATAGACCAGCCTCCTGTACATTGCTCACCAAAGCTCGTGCTTCTTCAATAACTTTGTACTTCTTACCGTCATGTTCAGCCAATCTCATTGCAAGAGCAATACAACTTTGTTCCAGACGCGCAACTGCAGCGTCTCTCTCTGCCTGCTGCTGTGTTTGTGCAGACTGTGAATCATAACATCAAAATGGCGTGCTAATAATTAATTTTACGTGAAAGAAAAGGATATATGAACACCAATACACCAAAATTGACATCAAACAACCACAGCATCATATATATACACTACAATGACTGTGTACCGTCTTGATGTCGCCATGATTTACATGTTATTTTCTTCTGTAGTTCATCTTTTATCCAACATGGTAGGAAATGCATTGCCAGAAAAGGTGAACTCCATGCAAAAAGAATGGAGTCCTAAACTAGCTATACAAAATGAGTTAGATTATACTTGGTAGTTTGTGCGTATGAGTCGATTTTGTTGTTATAATTTTGTCATTAACATTTTTTGTTATCTCCAATTTAATATGTGAGTATATGTTGACCAACATTAGGAGAACTCATTGCAAAATAAATTATTTGGACTCCCAACATATAGAGAGAGTGGGATGACAAAGCCAATGACTGACAGGATTCAATAACAAGTGGGCTAGCATAAACTTTTTCTAAGCAAATTTCGACATTAAGAGAAAATTATGTTTATTTAAAAAAATACACCAAGTCAAGGAGGTCATAGTGAGCCTTATCCCTATGCATAACATGATACATTAATATATCTTACAAATTCTTTGACAATTGAAGGCTTGGTGAATGTCAATTACCAACTTCAATGCTTCCCAAGGTTCAAACTATAAACTTAGAGCCTGTTTGAGCCACGTTTTTTTGATGACAACGCATTTTGGAATAGAATTTTGATGAAAAATGTGTGGTTGAAAAATAAGGAAAAGTTTTAAATTTGCGTGCAATATTATTTTATTGAAGAGTGTGTGGTAAAAAATAAGAGAGAAAAAAATGTATTTTAAAAATAATGGGAACCAAACAAGGAGCTTAGACTAAATGGCAAGTATACGAAAAGGCTGCTTTCAATTCCTAATCCCTAAAATAGACACCAGAAGATTGATTCAGTTCAAATTATGTCACAATTTATTTCTAATTCTCTCTCCCCCTCTAAATTCTTTTACCAGATCCTCTCTATTGTTAATTCTCTTCATCTTTCTCTATTGCGTTTTGGATCCAAATGCCTCCAAAAGTTACGACAGGATTTCAATTCGAGTTTATGAACAAGGCTTGTGCTTGATTTTGACTCTTGTAAAAGCTAACAAGTATTCGCTTTGTAGATGTTGTCTAAGTTAGCTATTACCATTTTCACCAATGCCATCTTATAAATAAAATATTTGACAGCTTAATCAACCAAAGAGGACTAGGCTTTCCTAGATTGGCAACAAAGTTTGGTTATTAGAACAATTTCATTTTTTAATTGCATGTTTGCTTCCAACTTTAAGTGAAGAAATAGACTAGAGAGGTTGTAGAATTATAGCATACAAGAAAATAAAGCATAATTTGACTTCTTTCCCGAATCATTTATTTTTGAAGGATATAAAAATGGCAAAAGATGAAGACACTTGAACAACTACTGCTCTTTGTCGAACGTAAGCATTATTTTATTGGTTTGGGTTGAGTGCGATTGAGCCCGCTCAGGTGTGGCTAGGTCTCTGAACAAAATCAGGCAACAAGAACCACAACCACCATCAAAGATGTACCACATTTAGAACATCTCCAATGCAACTGTGGATTGCTTTCAAAAATGTGCCACATTAACAAAAACAGACGGTGCTTAAAAGAATTCCTCTCCCATGAAAGCTGATTGGGATTCTGTCACGCTGATGTGGCAAGAAAAAATAGACAATGTCTAAAGGTGTGTCTAGAAGTAGAGGTCATGTTAGATGGGATGAGTCGACAAAATTTAAACTCTTTCTATCCTATTAAATAAATTTGAGTTCATAGAAGATAACATTCAAACTTGACCATCTATTCATCAGACATGTATGCCACATGAATTGGAAGTCTTTCTATTTGCCTTCCACATAGATTGCATTCTATAGTGTGAATCGGAAGTGCTCTTATAAGAGTTGCTTTAATAAGTTAAATCGCTTATCGAGTTTCTCAAGAAACTCAACCATGTATTTTTGAGCAATAAATTGATTTCGAGTGGATATGCAAATGTAATGTGATTCTTATCTTATGTTTCCCATGTACAGGAATAATGTCAATCTCATAGAACTTTCAAAAGGATGATGACTTTGCTTAATAATGCATTCTTATCAACCCCGCATGAAAGTGCATGGAGGATTCATAATGTTATTGGTTTAAGAAGCATTTTTCTCTCTTTATCGTTTTGTTTGTAGAAAGAAAATGAAAAAAAAAAAAAAAAANTGGACGTGTTCATTTAAGTTGAAATGAGGTTAATTTTGCCTTCTTTTAATTATTAATTTGAGACATTTTCGACAAGAGTAGTTATATTCAGTTATTCAAACCACATTTCTTTCATAAATACAACACTTTTAATTACATTGATCATTAATATTTATTCATTATCTCACTTATATCCTTAAATTTTTCTTCGTCATATTTTATTTTTAACATTTCATTTTTAGAAAATTTTGTTCTTAACAATGGTTTTCGTCTAAAAATATTTGTCAATGTGCTTTAATATGATGGTCAAATATTTAGTCGCATTTTTACATTATTATTTGCTTTGCTTGTTTAAAAATACATTGGATAAATTAATCTTTTTTCTCTATCTTAAAGAAAATTTAGGAGATAAATCATAATTCAAAACAATCAATGTTAACTTGAGAATAAGAATGTGATGAAAGAAGTTTGAGATATATAAATGTAATAATGTGTTGACTTTTCATGTGATTAAAATGTAATTTAGTTATTAAAACTGAATATATATTTAGCCCTTGTTTGGTACATATTAAAATTTTCATTCTCATTCTTCTATTCATTTTCAACTACATATTTTTCAATAAAATAATATTTTCTATCACATCAATAACTTTTACTTTTTTCTCAACCACACATTCTCCATCAATCTACTATTCCAGAATACATTTTTCCAAAAAAATGTGGCTCAAACACACCCTTAATTTCTATAACCACCCAAAAGGAATTCTACAACAAATAGCCAAGACACGGGTCCCAATTATTGTGAAAAATGGCTTCTACACTTAAGTAACATGAATCAATTTCAATACATGAATGACATTACCGTCCACACATTCCATATTTGGAGATGAGATGGTTCGTGACTCAATTTTTCATTTTATATTGTTCATATTCATATTATTCAGCTTATTGACTAGTTCATTTTCGTAAGGTGCTGTGCCACTTGAATGGAGAAATGTTTCTTTTTAGTTTCAATTTAGGCTACCAGTTTCAATGTTTCAATGTTCCGGAGGGTGGCGGTGGCTATGTGCACCAGGCCACCTACCCCAAACCTCAAACCTTCCCAAAACAAGAGAGCTCACAATCAAATAATATTTCATTTGGGTTGTTTCATTAGAATTAGGAAATTTAAAGATTATTCGCTTTATTGCCTCTTGTTTCATAAATTGTCCCAACAAAACCCGCATCTAACTGTACCATTGTAGAGCATTTAAAACTACACCCAACTTTTTCCATCTTTAACCTTATAACCAGAAAGAGACTACAAAGTCAAACAACAATACTAACTCAATTTCAATTCTGTATAATTTTAACTACTGATTAAAAGTATAATTATCAGCTCAAGTTTCAATTTTCAAAACAATTAAACTTACATGAAAAAACTCGAGCTGGTCTTCCAGATTTTCAAGCGCTGTTCGGATGGCATAAAGACTCTTGGCCTCCTGAACTATCGAGTCATCGACCCGAAGCCCCTTCATGAAAACAAAACCCGACCCGGTATTGTCATCATCATTGAATTTCTTTTCCCCGTGAAAATAAAATTCCTCGGAGTAAGTGGATTTGCGAGGATTTTTGATGGAATTCTGGAAGTGGATTCGAGAAATTGAGTGAATTGCATCGCTTAACTTGTCATGCAAATCCCATATTTTCTCAAGCACCGCTTCGATCTCTTCCATCCCATTTATCATTTCATTTGGAGGAAAAAAGGAAAAGAAAATGAAAATAGAACGAATAGCACGATTAAAATGAAAATAAGAAGAATATAAAAGGAATTTTCGATGGCTGAAGCAATCAATCAATCCTCCTGTACTCTACTGTAAATGAAAGAAATTCCTTGCTCAAATTCTCTTTATAGAGGGCGATGGAATGGAATAGCAACTTTAGTTGAAATGGACGAACTGGAGTGAATGATACGGGAGAAGAGCGAAAGTCGTTAGTTGCCTATTTTTAATATTTTATAAGTTACAAGTAGTGCTTGAGCAACCAACTCATATTTGGTGTGTAATAAATTGGGCTATTATTTTGAGTTGATTCAATATCTATTACCATACTAAACAAATAAAAATCATTTTTAAGTTTTCAAGTCTTATATTTTTTAAAATTTTAGACAAGAAATATTTGAAAAATATACAAAAATTGAAAATATTGAAATAGTCATCCCACCAAACCGAATAAAAATCATATCGCGTTCTTCTCAAAAATTAAAAACATTTTGATCTTGAGTTTTTAATAACAAATTTTCTTGTGACAACAATTAAATATTTTTCAACATTAATTGTTGACAATAGAGCATCAACTATATTTCATTTCAAACAATGTTTTGAAGATTTTTTCAAAAATTATTTTTCATCAAACTCGATTTCCAATGACATATTTTAAGAATATATATTTTTTACATTTCCTAATAACTTTTCATTATTTTTTAATCATACATTCTTTAAAAAAATTAATATAATATTTTCTCCCAAACAAACGCTCAGTGTCTTTGTGTTTCAGTTGTTTTTTATTGAGTCAAGAAAAATTCTTTGAATTTTTTTTTTTTTTTTTTTGAGTAGATACATTGTTCTTAATATTATTTGCACTTAAACTTTGATATATCAATATCTATTTTTTAGGTTGGGACTAATGAAATGGTTTTAGTCATATTGAAAATCTATGAGTATATTTTAATTTATTGAATTAGATTAAGCCCCTCCTCGATTTAGATTAAAATTCAATTAAAATCAACAATTAATTTTAACCACATATTTATTGAAATCTACAGCTTTTTCAATAACACATTTCATTAACTTTTATTAAAATCTACTAAAAATTTGTTTTTAATATCTTCCAAATAGGGGCTAAATTAAGTCATTGTTTGGCCATATTAAAATTTTAATATATTTTTCTTCATCTTCTTTTTAATTACATACTCTACAATAAAATAATATTGCATGTAAATTTAAAAAAAATCATTCTTTTTTAACCACACATTTTCTAAAAAAATTAATATTTCAAAATACATTATTTTTAAAATCTCATTATAATGGGGGCCAAACAAGGACTAAATATGATACTCGTTATTAAAATTTTCTAATCATATGCGGTCGAACTTACCAAAATATATTCCTCTGAAAAGGTCTTCAATTTTTCAATTTATGTGGTGTCGTTCATCTTTGCATCACGAAGAATTCTATGAATTATGTGAAAAGCCTTTATGCCTCGGCTCAATGATCGGGGCATTGCCCCGGTCATTAAGCCCGGGCATAAAGCATAATGCCCCGGTCATTAAGCCGGGGCATAAAGCATCTCTCTAAATTTTGTAGTTCAGAAATTTGCACCCATTGACCCATATCAATACATGGTGCAATGCCATTACGTCAACTTTCACAATTAGTTTTCAATAGCAATATAGACATTTACAAGAGGTTTTTTTTTTTTTGTAATTATTTATTTTGTTAGCTAATTTTTTTTAAGCCTCCTTTGATGCCGACTATTTAATCAAAATGAATTTAATAATAATGAATTTTTGAATAGTGTGTGGCTAAAAAATAAGAAAAAATTTTAAATTTACTTGCAAATTATTTTATTGTGAGAATATATGGTTTAAAAAAGAGTTTAGAAATAACGAGAATCAAACAGGGATTAAGACAAACTTATTTGAATAAAATTGTAAATTGAAACTGACATTGAAATAAAAAAATAATTCTAACTACATATTCAAAATTACTATTCACACATTTCGTAAAACGTACTACTCACTTTCATTATAATCTCATTATATTTTATCTAAACAAGCTAAATCTCGGTTTAATTTAGATAAAAATCAAATTTTTAATAGGTTTTGATAAAAAATTATGAGATGTGTGATTGAAAAATTGATAAAAATTATACATTCCATAAAATGTATTTTTAAAATTATATATAAAAAATTAAAATATGCGGCAAACGAGGACTAAGAGTTAACAAAAGAATCATATATTTTAAATGTTTTTTTTTATTGAATATATTTTAAATGTTATTTTACTCTCATTAGAGTATCTCCAAGAGACTCTCTATTTTTAAAGAGCATATTCTATCATTTGGAGAGCATCTATAAATTTAAAGAGTTAAAATTTTGATGTACTCCAACAAACTCTTTATATTTAACACTTAAATTTACTATTCCCAAAAAATATTTATTAATTTTGACATGTAGTATGACATTGAAAGTCCATCTGTGCAGATGAACCATGCGTTTCTTTATCCTTCGGCTCACCTTTTTCATAGTATATCCATGAGACTCTCTATTTTTAAAGAATATATTCTATCATTTAAAGAGTATCTATAAATTTAGAGAGTAAAAATTTTGAAATGCTCCAATAAACTCTTTATATTTAACACTTAGCCCCTGTTTGAGCCTCATTAAAATTTTCATTATCATTATTTTACTCATTTTCAATCACACATTTTTCAATAAAATAACATTTTCCATCACTTTAATAAATTTTCTTTATTTTTCAACCACACATTCTCCATCAATCTACTCTTCAAAAATACATTATTCTAAAATAATGTGACTCAAATACACTCTTAATTTTATTACTCTTAAAAAATATTTATTATTTTTCTTTATCTTTTATTTTAAATAGTTTTTATTTTAACCACATATTTCATGAGATCTACAACTTTTTCAATAACACATTTCATTAAATTTTATTAAAATCTACTAAAAATTTGATTTTAATATCTTCCAAATAGGGGCTAAATTAAATCATTGTTTGGCAATATTAAAATTTTAATATATTTTTCTTCATCTTCTTTTTAATCACATATTCTATAATAAAATAATATTGCATGTAAATAAAAAAATCATTCTTTTTTAACCACACATTTTCTAAAAAAATTAATATTTCAAAATACATTATTTTCAAAATCTCATTACAATGAGGGCCAAACAAGGACTAAATATGATACTCGTTATTAAAATTTTCTAATCATATGAGGTCCAACGTACCAAAATATATTCCTCTGAAAAGGTCTTCAATTTTTCAATTTATGTGGTGTCGTTCATCTTTGCATCGCGAAGAATTCTATAAATTCTGGGAAAAGCCTTTATGCCTCGGCTCAATGATCGGGGCATTGCCCTGGTCATTAAGCCGGGGCATAAAGCATTAAGCCGGGGCATAAAGCATCTCTCTAAATTTTGTAGTTTAGAAATTTGCACCCATATCAATAGACGGTGGAATGCCGTTACGTCAACTTTCACAATTAGTTTTCAATAGCAATATAGACATTTACAAGAGGTTTTTTTTTTTCTTTTTTGTAATTATTTATTTTGTTAGCTAATTTTTCTTAAGCCTCCTTTGATGCCCACTATTTAATCAAAATGAATTTAATAATAATGAATTTTTGAGTATTGTGTGGTTAAAAAATAAGAAAAAATTTTAAATTTACTTGCAAATTATTTTATTGTGAGAATATATGGTTTAAAAAAGAGTTTAGAAATAACAAGAATCAAACGGGTATTAAGACAAACTTATTTGAATAAAATTGTAAATTGAAATTGAAATAAAAAATTAATTCTAACTACGTATTCAAATTACTATTCACACATTTCGTAAAATGTACTACTCACTTTCATTATAATCTCATTATATTTTATCTAAACAAGCTAAATCTCGGTTTAATTTAGATAAAAATCAAATTTTTAATAGGTTTTGATAAAAAATTATGAGGTGTGATTGAAAAATTGATAAAAATTATACATTCCATAAAAGTATTGTTAAAATTATATAAAAAAATTAAAATATGGGGCAAACGGGGACTAAGAGTTAACAAAAGAATCATATATTTAAAAAATTTTTTTTATTGAATATATTTTAAATGTTGTTTTACCATCATTAGAGTATCTCCAAGAGATTCTCTATTTTTAAAGAGCATATTCTATCATTTAAAGAGTATCTATAAATTTAGAGAGTAAAAATTTTGAAATACTCCAATAAGCTCTTTATATTTAACACTTAGCCCCTGTTTGAGCCTCATTAAAATTTTCATTATCATTATTCTACTCATTTTCAATCACACATTTTTCAATGAAATAATATTTTCCATCACGTTAATAATTTTTTTTTTTTTTTCAATTACACATTCTCCCTCAATCTACTCTTCTAAAATGCATTCTTCCAAAATAATGTGGCTCAAATACACTCTTAATTTTATTACTCCCAAAAAATATTTATTATTTTTCTTTATCTTTTATTTTAAATAGTTTTTCTTTAGATTATTTTATTATTTTCCTACATTGAAAATTAAAACACTTTAAATGCATTTAATTATAGAGAGTAAGTTTGGCTCTCCAAATTTGGAGAGTCAAACTCACTATCTAAATTAAAATGTTAATTTAAAGAGTCTCTTGGANGATACTCTAAAAAGATTCGCTTTTCTATAAAAAATAAATAAAACATAATAATAGTAGTAGTAGTAAAAAAAAAGACATGGGATTTGTATTAGGTGGAGATTAGAATTAAGGGCTCGTTTGATTCTCATTATTGTAGAATGAGAATGAAAAATATAGTCGTTATTGGGCCCCACACAAGAGATAGAAATTCAAAACTGATAGCTTGATGTGATGGATAACGATCATATTTTTCATTTTTATAAATGAAAAATGAGAAACAAATGGAGGTTAAATATTTAACAAATTTTGATAAAAGTCAAGAAAATATGTGATTAAAAATTTGCGAGTTCTACAAAATATTTGGTTAGAATTATTCATTGGCTTTAACTTCAATAAAAATCTAGATTTTAATTTCTTTCAAATAGGGGTTTAGTAACGAAATAATAAGTTGAATCACAAATTTCACTTGCTAGATTATAAATTCGAGCAATTTTAGTGAATTAGTACGGTTGCCCTTGTTAAGGACATTTAAACTTTAATTTGTCTTAAAATTCATTTTCTGTTACACATTCTTTCAACAAAACTAGCTATGGTCATGCAATACACGGACTTTGTTATTTTGAAGGTAATATTAGCGTTGAATATGAAGGATTAAAGGGAGATATAAGCAAGGTTAGCAAAATGAGCTTAATTGAACAAAATAAATTTACATATGATTTCACCCATAGAATATTAGTTATAAAACATTCAAATGGTACGAAGAAATTTTAAAAAACTTAAACGAGATTCATAGAGAATTTATCTTTCGAAATTGTTAGGTAAAAACTAAAATAAAGAGCAAATATACATCAAGAGAAGCATGAAAAGAATAATTCTTCATCATTACAATCATCATTTGTTGCATCTATTTGGTCGTCTAATGGGAGCTCAAAATCCTGCAGTCAGTAGGTCTTCTGTAACCTCAACAAAGATATTTTTTTTGTACAAGACGTAGGAAATTTGAATGTGATGTTTGTGGGACGGTCCGTGTACAAGAAGCTGATTTTTCCACCCTTTTAGGACAAGTATGTGAAGTCAATATTAATGGGTATATCTACGGAAGAAATCAGATATTTAAAGGCAAAAGAGTAGACTTGAAAAAAAATGGTAGAGGTGGGACAAGCAGGGCAGCACCCCTCGTAGGGGTTCGGGGGGCGTTGACGGGGATCGACCGGCCGATCAAGTCTTGGCGGCCGAGGGCAATCCAAATTATCCCAATAAATAATAAATGAGATACATGAATGAATTTGACAAAACATAAGCTGCAAATTAGGATTAGTTTCCACTAAGTTAATTCAATTTCACAGAAATCAAGGGCCGAAGAAATCTTCATTTATTATTTATTTATTTATTTATTTTGTTTCCACAAGAATAATTTTTTACTCCGAATAAAACATTATGAAAAAGGATCGTCAACATTTTTCAAATTAAACATATTTTCCACTTTCATGTTTTGTGACAAACTTTCCAAACAATTCAAAAAGTTTTAAAAAATCCTGTAATTTACATTGGTGTGTAGCAAAGTAATGAGATATCATCGTGTCCACTTACATTTCACTAAATGTTATCGTTTTCAATCTGATTTTTGTAAAAAATTTCAGTCATCATGATAAGCTGAGTTTCTTGTAAATGATAAGAAATGGTCATACTTATGAAACCTAATCCCATTTTTTCGCATACATTCAATCAAAGGTACTAACACAATATTAGAAACTGAATTCAAAGCTGCTTGTCCTGGTTTTGTTTTAGTAAAGGGGAAACGACATTCTTTGAAAATTTATTCTCTTAAAATAGGAGAAGAAAAATAGGTCTCGGGGGTCGAGGGGGCAGCGCCCACGAAAGGAAATCTGATTTGTAAACGATTGTGAGGTTTTATAATTATTATTAATGTTTTTGAATTAAATCATTAATATGTGAAATTGTATTTAGTTTGTGTAAAATGTAAGCAAAATGTATCACCTAAATTTAAAAATAAGTTCGTAAATTTGGTTAATATTGTTTATAGAAATTTATTGTATAATAAAACCTGTTTGCACTGTAAAAATAAAAAAATAAAATTAACTCTGCACAGTATTTTTTTTTTTGACATTCTTCAGTCAACAATTGTGGTATTTATTATTATTTTTTTCTTCTTTTCTGTTTTAGTTAACAATTATGAGTAAGGAATAAATCTATATTACCCTTTTGTTTTGATAAAATGATGAAAAATGTTTCACAAATGAATAGTAAATAATGGGGGATAAAATGGAAAAAAATTAATTGGTAGGGAATAAAATGGGAATGGAAAATGCATCACAAATGAATAGTGCTATGCGGATTGGCTCTTTTATATTATTAGGGATAATAGACTTTAGCCATTTGTACAAAAAAAATGACCAGAATTTCATCGGAAAAGAGATAGCAGTGGGTCCCACCGTGTATTTAAAAAAGAAAAAAAATGTGCGGACCCCACCCTTGTGTGAGTGTTCTGTTGCATTTCTGGTGTTTTTGTTTATGTACGTGTAGCACATTTGCAAATAATTTTATGCATAAATTCATAACTTTTTTCTTATTTTCTAATCATGCATTTTTCATAAAATATATTCTCAGAAAAAAAAAAAAAACTATATGGTCCAAAATAAAATTATGGAAAAATTGTAGTCACGGTACCAAACCTTTCAACTTTTTGTAGACTTTGTCTAAACCTTTGTTTTGTGCCACCCAGGTACCAAACCTTTAAACAAATGGATGATTTCCGTCCAATTGACAACGAAAATCGTTTGTTGACCTCGAAAATTAAAAAAAAATTACAATTTTCACCAAATAGGCAAGGGCAATTTCAGAATTATACACAATTTTCACCAAATAAGTTTAAAAAAATGAATTAAAAATTCCAAAAATAATTTTAAAAAAACAACAACTGTTCATCTCCTTTCCCACCCAACGAAAAATCAACCACCATCCAGCCACTCCGGCCACCACCGTCGCCGCCTCCTCCTCCTCACAGGGGTGGTCTCTTCTACGTTAGCTCTTTCTTTTTGTATACAGCTCCATTGTCATATGCGCGTCCTATATACATCTTATGCAATAAACTAATAAGCCCCTGTTTGACACCCATTTTTTATCTCATTCCCATTCTCATTTTTCTACAGTACTCATTTCTAACCACACATTCTTCAAATAAAATAATATTACACATAAACCCAAAAATTCTTCTACTTTTTAACCACACATTCTTTACATCAATCACTATTCAAAAACTCATTCTTCAAAATAATGGGTGTCAAACG